TATTTATGTTAGTTATTATTTTTAGTAATAATTAGTTATGCTCGCTGTAAACAGGTTGATGGAAGCGTGTGGATGTGTGGGGGGAGGGGGGGAGGGGGGTAGGGTTGTGTTTTTGGGAGGGGGTGGGGTTTTGTGTGTGTGATTGTGTGTTTGTGGAATTGTATGTATGTGGGGATTGTATGTGCGGGGTTGTGTGGTGTGTTGATGCATGTGGCGGGATTGTGTGTGTGTGTGGGATTTGTGTGGTGTGGTGTGGATTGTATGTGGGATTGTGGTGTGTGTGTGGGATTGTATGTACGGGATTGTGTGTGTGTGGGTTGTATGTACGGGATTGGTGTGTGTGGGATGTCTGTGCGGGATGTGTGTGTGTGATTGCATGTGCGGATTTGTGTGTGGGATTGTAGTGCGGGGATTGTGTGGTGTGTGAGATTGTATGTACGGGAATTGTGTGTTGTGTGTGTGGAATTGTATGTCGGGTTTGTGTGTATGTGTGTTTGGCTTATGTGTGAGGAATTTGGTGATTGGTTTGTTAGGGAATCTATATAGTGTGTATTGCGATTGTGTGTTCCATCGAACTGGGTCTAACTGGTCTATTTCTCGTTTTCCTTCTCAATTCCTGTCCACTTTTTCACTCTCATGAGTAACATATATTACACATGCACACCCTGGATGTAAATACATCTATATGTCTGCCTGTCTATCCACTACCTATCTATATATTAATCTACCTATGAACTTATCTATCTATTCATTTATCTGTGTCTGTTTTAAACTCTCCCTTCTCTCTGGCTTTCTAGGTATTGCAAAGAAAAATTAGTTTATTGATGTCTTTCCCTTTTTGCGAAATTTAATTTAATCATGTTTTCTGCAAAAGTTTTTCAAGCACTTGGACTGATGACCCTAGTTTAAAAGAACGCACACGCATGTAAGCGCACACAAATAAACGCTTGTACACTATGTACATACATACATATACACTCTTACATACAATCCCACACCACACCACACACACAGCACACACACACACACACACACACACACACACACACACACACACACACACACACACACCACACACACACCTATATATATTATATATATATATATTTATATATATATTATATATGTTTATACTAACACACATATACACACACATTTTCCTTACTACACCTAACCTATACTAATAAACAGAATAATAACAACCACAACAAAAGACATAACAACAAGAGAGAGAACAAGAGAGACGTCAACGGAAAGAAAAAAACAAAAACAATAACAAAAACAGCAAATAACGTTCATACCAGAGTGGCACGGTGGGGGAGAGGGGGGAGGTGGGTGGGGGGGGGGGTTGAGGAGGTAATTGGTCTTGCAGTTTTCATGTTGTTTTGATTGTTTTGTAAGTGCGGTTGGTTGGTTGGTTTGTCGTATATATATATACATATATATATATATATATATATATATATATATATATATATATATATATATATATATATATGTGTGTGTGTGTGTGTGTGTGTGTGTGTGTGTGTGTGTGTGTGTGTGTGTGTGGTGTGTGTGTGTGTGTGTGTGTGTGTGTGTGTGTGTGTGTATGTATACATACATAGGCAGACAAACACACATATACACATAAACACAAACAACACACACACGCACAAACACACCACACACACAACACAACATGATCATTACCACAAACACACAAAGCACAAGCAATCAAAGAAACACAAAACAGAAAAGAAAGAAAGAAAGAAAGAAAGAAAAATAAACGAACAAGGAAAAAATGGGGAAAAATTAAAAGTCAAAGGACACGGGAGAAGGAATAGGAAAAGGATGATTCAGATTTCACCAACAAGCGCCATGGTCAAGGTTAGTGGGCGACGTGGACGGGAAGCGGAAAGAGGAGAGAGAAAGGAGAGAGAGGGAGGAAGGGAGGGAGAGAGTCGAAGGGAGCAGGGGGGGACGGAGAGAGAAGGAGGAAGGGATTGAAGGAGGGAGGGAAAGAAAGAGTGAATGGAGGGAGTGAGAGAAGGAGAGAGAGGGAGGGAGGGAGAAGGAAGGAGGGAGGGAGGAGGGAGGGAGGGAGGGAGAAGGGGAAAGAGGGATTGAAGGAGGGAGTAAGGGGAGAGGGAGTGAAGGAGGGAGGAGGAACGGATAGAGGAAGAAGGAGGGAGGGAGGGATGGAGAGCTCTAGAAGGGGAAAAGAGGGATAGAGAGAGAGAGAGAGAGAGAGAGAGAGAGAGAGAGAGAGAGAGAGAGAGAAAGAGAGAGAGAGAGAGAGAGAGAGAGAGAGGAGGGGGGGGGGGGAAGTTGGGAGAGAGAAAGGGGAGGGAGGGAGGAGGATTGGGAGTGAGGAGGATGGGGACGGGAGATGAGGAATGGGAAGAGAAGGGAGAGAAGGGGGAAGGGAAGGGAATGAGAATGGACCGGAGGATAGAGGGAAGGACCGGGAAGAAAAAGGCAGAAGAGGAAGGGAGGAGAGAGAAAAAGCGCACCCTACCCCCAACCACCAAACCACCAATCCCCAATCTACCACCCAACTCAACACCAAACATCAACCACCAACATACAGAAAAACTGATGACAAACCCCCTCCCCCACCCCACATCACCAGCAATCACCACCAACATACAGATAAAAAGTATGACACCCTCACATCCTCCATGAGCAGACAAGGCGAATACGCTGGGTTAAACCCACCGAGGTCACTACCGAACATAGCAGAAAAGATAATGAACACCCCCACCCCCACCTCCACCCCCCACCAATCACCCAACATACAGAAAATAATGCACCCCCTCCCCAGGCCACCCCCAACATACCAAACATACAGAAAAATTATGACACCCCCAACACCCCACCACCCACCACGTCACCACCAACATACTCAGAAAAATTATGACACCCCCAACGCCCCACCCCCAGCCCCCAAACATACAGAAAAAGATAACCCCACACCCATCCCACCCCCACCTGCCGCCACACCCGCCCATCATTTATCAACGACTAATGCTCTTGGCCGCCGTCCTTCACTATGGCCAGTCGCAAGGAGAAATCGCCAAGAGGGAAATTTCACAGTCATTTTGGCCAGCTGCGGGAAACGAGGTTGCAGGAGCGCTCGCGCTGGGACGCGCGGTGAGCGTTTGTGTGTGGGGGGGTTGGGGCGGTGGCGTATAGTGTTTGGGTGTGTGTTTGTGTGTGGTAACGTGTTGCTGGGTGTGTGGTTTGGTGTGTGATTGTGGTGTGTTGTTTTGTGTGTTTGGTGTGTGTTTGTGGGTTGTGTGTGTGTGTGGTGTGTGTGTTTGTGGTGTGTTGTGTGTTTGGTGTATTTGTGTGTATGTGTCGTGTGTTTGTGGTGGTGTTGTGTGATCTGCTGTGTGTTGTCTTGGTGTTTTGGTGTGTGTTGGTTTTGTGTGTGTGTGTGTCTGATGTTTTACGTTTGTGTGTGTGTGTCTGGTGTTTGTAATGTGTGCTCTGTGTTTGTGGTGTGTGATGGTGTACTGTGTGTGTCAGTTTTTACGTTTGTCGTGGTGTGTGATGGGGGGGGGGGGGCGTAATGTGTAGTGGTGGGAATGAGTTTGTGTTATGTGTGGTGGGGGCGTGATGTTTACGTTGTATGTGTGGTGGGATGAGTTGTGTGTGTGTGTGTGTGTGTGTCTGTGTTTGATGTGTGTCTGTGTTTTACGTTTTGTGCTGTGTGTGTGTGGGGGGCGCGTGTATGTATATGTGCTTTTAATGTCATTTTCTTTAAAAGTTTTATAGAGAAAGGTGTTTAATGGTATTTTTGAGGCGTAAAGTAAGATCATAAGTAGGTATCTTATAAGTAATAATTTTGTGGTTTATAAGTTGTATGTTTATGTGATAATGGTAAGTAGATGATTTTGTTGTCAAATAAGTATTGGATATGTAAATTAGATGTAAAATAAATAGTTGTAGGTAGGAATATATATTGTCATAAATTATTTAAGAAGTCTCGTGTTTTATATTAGAGACAAATCTATAATATTTAATAGAGGGTAGAATACACTAAACGGAAAAGACAATAAATCATAATATAACCTTAACAAAAAGTTTCATAAACGCCATAACCTAAAAAAGCCTTGAATTTCACTAGACACCGGAAGTAGGCCTACCCCTCCCCCTCCACTCTCCCTTCCCCTCCACCGTCCCTTTCCCCTCCCTCCACCACCGCACATGGCTAGGGTGACCGTGTGGAGTGAAGCGTGCGAGTGTGCGAGTGTGTGTGTGTGTCTGTCTGTCTCATTGCCAAGGTGATGTCCCTTTAGGTTGTTCCTGTGGTTTTTTTCCTCCCCTGTGGGTCGGACTTTCTACGTGTTGCGTGAGTGGTCATGCATGTAAGCGCACATACATGGGCGCGCAAGCATAGACATAAGCAAGTATCCATGAACACCACACACACACACACACATATATATACATACACACACAACACACATACAAACATCTATTGACGTAACCATGCATAAATACATACACATCCAACATATACAAATACAAGTACACACACACACATGTCCACAACCCTCCCCCTACAACACAGACACCACACGCCCAACAAACACCCAGCCCCTCCCGACCCATACAAAACACAACACAACACAACACACACATATGCCATTAACTACAACACACACACGCCCACAAACACCCTCCCCCCCACACACACACACACTTCCCCCCGCCCCCAACCGCAACTCCCCGCAGAAATCCTCTCAAGGCGAGGTCCCGGAACGAAGGCGCGACGGCGAAGCGAACGGAAGGAAAAAAAAGGTCCGGAAGGCGGAGCGAGAGAGAGGGGAGAGAGAGGGGGGGAGAAGCGAGGGAGGAGAGGGAGAAGGAGGGGGGAGGAGCGCGAGGGAGGGGGAGGAAGGGGG